GGACCCCGGGGGAGGTGCTAATGGGCCCCCCCTTTTTTTTTTTTTTTTTTTTTTGCTCTCAGGGTGAGAGCGGCCTGCAGGGTCCTAAAGGTCTCCCGGGGCGCAAAGGCAACCAAGGTCGCGGGGTGAGTCACCACGTGAACCTGCACGCACCCATCATACAAATACATTTGCAGCTTGGATGCACATACCTCAGGTCCAAAATTTCCAAGGTGGATAAATGGGCACAATGTTCACTGACACTGACTCCACCTTGCAGCGGGCTCTTCGTTTGTCAGACGTTTCTTCTCAAGAATGAAGTTGCCGGTGACTTTTGTGAAAAAAAAATAAATAAATAATAAAATTTTTAAAAATAGATCCTCAAGTGTTCCGAGACTGGTTAAACATAGGGACCAAATCACTGACTGTGCTTTTGTAAACTAGCTCCTCCCTTTTTGCAGCCATGTTGTTAGTGTCAGCAGTGCATGTCAGCGTTCAACTAAGGAAGCTACAAAATATATATATATATATATATCATGAGAAATAAAACCACATAATGGATCAAATTTGTAATTTGACCCAAATTTTTTTTTAAATCGATGAAATAATTGCTGTGACCCCATGCAGGGCAACTCAGGTCGCACTGGACAGGCGGGTCAACCTGGAGAGCCCGGCTACGAGGGACACAAGGTGAGAGGCTGACCCGTCCTTTGACATTACGGCAGTGATTGAATTAATCCTCAATGAATGGAAGGAAACGACTGAATGAAACAATGAAAACATGAATAACTTGACAAATGAATGAAAAAAAATGAATAAATGAAAACTTGAAAGATTGCATGAACAAATAAAAGAATCACTGACAGAATAAATAAAGAATAGAAATATGAATGACTGACAGAAATAAGTGGTGAGTGAAGACATGGTTGAATAACTTCATGAATGGCAGGATGAAACAAAATACATTGAAAATAAATTCAACCTTTTCAGGGACAGTCAGGTTATCATTATTGGTGCCTAAAAATGGTTAATCAATTAAAGAATGACAAATAATGAACAGTTACTGAATGGAATCATGAGAATGAACGAAGCAAAGAAATAAGCCTATGGAAAAAAAAAAGCCCACACGATTGACAGGAAGAATGAAGGACTAAAAGAACGACTGAATGAATGACGTCATCTTTCCTCGTCACCCACAGGGCCCACGAGGTCCCGCCGGGGGTAAAGGGAAGACGGTACGTGTTGGGCTCACCTCACTGTCAACTTGTTCGTTGGCTGTGTTTGTGTCAATCGTGTTTATTTTGTTGTCGTGTCGCCTCGTCAGGAATGCGAACTGATCACGTTCATCCGAGACAACTGTGGTGAGTTCAGTCTCGGCTAGCCACGCCCACTGTGTCATGTGTTCATCCAATTAGCTGTAAGCTTTTTTCTCTCTCTCTCTCTCTCTCTCTCTCTCTCTCTCTCTCTCTCTCTCTCTCTTTATGCTCTCTTTCAGCTTGCTCCATGGGTACGTACACGTCACTTCCTGTCCGAGTTGTCAACTTTCCCGTTGCGGTGGCCATCTTGATTTGGGATCAGGGACCTTGATAAGGAACGGCTTCTTTTGTTTTAGGAAAAGACAAACACTATTCTTGTTGAATTGAAACAATGACCAGTGATTGAGTGAAGAAATGAATGAGAAAAAAAACAATTCACGAACGTGCGAATGAAAAAAAAGTTTTAGAAAGGAAGAGTGAATGTGACCGGGGCGCATGAATGAATTTTCTGAGCTGATGGATGAATGAATGCGTGTGTATGTGTGAACAAATGAATTGAGGAATGAGTGAATTTACTCATGAATAAATGAGTGAATTAATAAATCAATCACAAAAAAATGAATAAATAAGGAAATCTGATCATGAATACGAATGGGAAAATGATTGAGTAGTTGAATTAGTAAAGGAACAAATTAACAAATGAACTGACATGAATGGGTGAATGAATGAATGAAAATAAGTGAAGGAGTAATTGAAAGAATAAGTTAATGTCCAATGAAAATGTGAATGACAAAGTGAATGACCAAATGAAAACATACAAGTAAATGACTGTCCAAATTACTGAGTGAACCCATGTGAACGAATGAATGAACCAACAAATTAATTTCAATGACTGAATGTCTAAATGAATGAATGAGCAAATTAAGAAATGAAATGAAAAATGAATGGATGACTAAATCAACACCCTTCCAAAGCACAAATGCCCCAATGTTAATGGTTGAACGAACGAATGAGCAAATGAATGAAGTTTGGGGTTTTGGTAGCCATCTTACAGCGTGCTCTTATCGTTCCTGGCCGTTCAGACTTGGGCTCTTGCCCGGCTCTCCCGACGGAGCTGGTGGTGGCGCTGGACATGTCCGAGGATGTTACGCCAGCGGCGTTCGAGCGCCAGCGTGCGGCCCTGCTGTCCCTCCTGGAGGACATCACCGTGGCGGAGAGCAACTGCCCCACGGGGGCCCGCGTGGCCGTGGTGGCCTACAGTGCTCACACCAAATACTTGGTCCGCTTCCACGACTACCGGCGCAAGACGCAGCTGCTGGATGCCGTGAGGAACGTGGCCCTGGAGCGCACATCCAACCGGCGGCAGCTGGGCGCCGCCATGCGTTTCGTGGCGCACAACGTGCTCAAGCGCGTGCGGTCGGGCGCCATGATGAGAAAGGTGGCCGTGTTCTTCTCCAACGGGCCGTCGCAAGACATCAGCGACGTGGTGACGGCCATCATGGAGTACCGCGCCCTCAACGTGGTGCCGGCCGTCATCTCCACGAGGAATGCGCCCGCCATCAGCCGCGCCATGGAGGCAAGTTTAACCTTGGTGTCTTCGGGAAGTAGCCATGTAAACATGCTTCAGTTAGATAAAAGTAGTGCTATTTTGCAATCTTGTGGCATCCTTGTGCCGAGGAACTATGTTTAAGTGACTTCAGGAGCCTCATTATGATTGAAAAAAAAAGTGTTTTGTCACCATTTTGTGGCATGTTGGTGACTAGGAACTATGTTGAAGTGAATTCAGAGCTTTATTTTATAAATGTAGTGCTTTTCACCAACTTGTGGCACCCTTGTGTTAAAGCTTTGATGAAGTGAGTTAAGAAGCTTCATTTAGATAAAAGTAGTCCTTTGCTGCCGTCTTGCAGCTAGGAAAAAATGTTAAAGTGAGTTAGGAACCTTCTCTCAAATAATTGAAAGTGCTTTTTCACTATCTTCTTGGTGTCTTGGGACTTAAGTATTATGTTGAAGTGAGGGGAGAAGCTTATCATTGACAGTAGTGCTTGGACATGTCATACGTTATTTATTACAGCTTTTGTGAAAGTAAGTCTGAAGAAGCGTTTACTTCTAGCTGGACGACACGGGAAACTCCATCTTCACCGTGCTGGGGAGGGACGCCACTGCTGACCTGAGGAAGGTGAAGAACTGCGCCATCTGTTACGGTAAGCAGCCATTACGTGACACACATTTGATAAATGTTAGCCGTGCTTTTCCCAATTGTTTATTTTTTGGGGAGGAGGAGGGCGGGAGGATGGAACAGATTGCTGGTATTCCCATTCATTTCAATGAGGAAAGATGATTTGAGTGTCAGGAGACATTTGTCTGTTTGCACAGACCCGTGCCGGCGTTCGCAGGAGTGCGCGTTTGTCCTGGAGTCGCCGCCGCCGCAGCAAGTGGACGCGGATGTGGTGATGCTGGTGGACGGCTCGCGCGAAATCCAGGCCGACGAGTACGCCGGCGCGCAGCAGCTCTTGGGCTCCGTGGTGGAGCAACTAGCCATCAGCCCCCAGCCCGGCCGGGCCGACGCCCGCGCCCGCGTGGCCGTGGTACAGCAGAGCGGCGCCCGTGACACCAAGCTGGAGTTCGGCCTGCGGGCTTACCAGGAAGGGCGGCTCATGAGGTCGCACCTGCTGAGCAACATGCGCCAAGAGGGAGGATCCTCGGCTCTGGGGCACGCCCTGAACCTCGGCCTGAGGGAGGCGATGACGGATGGCAGCCCCCGCAGGAGGAAGGTGGTGCTGGCGGTGGTGGGCACCAGGACGGCGCCCGAGGACCGCCAAGTGCTTCGCGCCGCCGCTCTGAAGGCCAAATGTCAGGGGGTGGCGCTGTTCGTTGTGACGGTGGGCGAGCGCTACGACCGCGAGCAAGTGGAGGACTTGGCCAGCGAGCCCAGGCAGCAGCACCTGCTGCACTTGGGACGACTTCAGCAGGAAGAACAGGACTACGTGCGGAGGTTCTTCAGGGTCTTCATGGCCGCGTTAGACAGTGAGATACAACGCCAACCATTCAAAGCGTTTGAATTCATGTGTCATTCGTTCTATTTTTAATTATGCCGGCCACCACACACACAATGAAATACACAACTGTCATCACCTGTACTAACATAATTCTGTGTGTGTGTGTGTGTGTGTGTGTTACAGAGGGCTTCACCACATACCCACCGCCGTCTTTCAAGCGGATCTGCCAGCAGATGGATCAAGATGGCGGACAGATCTTCCTTAATGGGTAAGGCAATTACATCATCATCATCATCATCATCTGCATCTTCAAGTTGGTCACGTGACCGTTGTGGCGTCCAGTCAAGGGCAGGCGCAGGTGTTTGCCGACCAGCCGCGGGGAGGGCCAGGCGGCCATTTGCAGGAGCAAACCGGACAGACGGACGTCGTTCATATGTTGAGCCCAGAAGGTCAGGAATGATTAAAAAACAACTGAAGATCATTTCTAACTCATCTTTCACACACACACGCACACACACACACGCGCGCGCGCGAAAGCACGGGTGTCAAACTCAAGGCACGGGGACCAGATGTGGCCCGCCACATCCTTTTAATTGGCCCGCGAAAGCAAATCAAAGATGACAACTTTGATGATGTGCACTAAAATCTGGACCAAGCATTTTCTTGTTACCAAACCCCTCATTAGAGTTACTTCAACAAAAGCTGAATTAAACATTATTCTTGACGTCTTGATATCGTTTCAGTCATAACGGCCCTCCAAGGGAAACAGTAATTATAATGTGGCCCGCGACAAAAATGAGTTTGACACCCCTGTACTAAAGCCAAAAATAAAGTGACCCCTCTCTGTCCAGTACATACATTAATGGGGAGAAGTTTGCCAGAAGTTTCAAACACAGAATGAGCATAAAAACGTGCAATTAGGGGGCACTAGTTGCCTTTGTCAGCTTAGTTTTTGTTTTAGAAAAAAATGTAAATAGGTGAGTTTGTAATTCTCGGAAAAATCTTTTTTTTTTGTTTTTTTTAGAGTGGTATTTCCGCCAAAATGTCGTGAATGTCTGAGAAAAAGATCCTGTGTACAAAAGTTTTTTTTTTTAAAGAAAAATGTTCCAAAGGTCTTATATTTTCAGAAAAAAGTAGGATATTTTTGGAAAAACCATATGACTGAAAAGGCCATATATTAAAAAAAAAAGACAAAAACCGGGGGGGGGGGAACCTAATTTCATTTCAGAAAAAAGTCATTTATTTAAAAAATAAAAGATTGGAAAATAAATTGAGATGGTGATCGAGATTGAGATGATTTCGAACGCAGTGACCAACTCAATACGATCCTCAAATAGTTTTGGAACACAACCCGGCTACCTTGTCAGATGAATGTCAAAAAGTGAACAAACAAATCATTTTCGATAACATTATATTGTGCAAAGTTTACAAAATGAATACAAACAAAACAAGGTGACCATTGGTCGTTCACGACTTTTCAAGATGTATTCTGGGTAAATGTTGACTGCGTTCTTTTCGAAGTTAATGACAACGTGATGATTTTATTTCTCGTTCACACGTCAACCATAACAGAAGATGACACGCCAATGCCGCGGTCGACTGATGCCAGCTCCACAGGTAAATCTTACAAATGCGCGACACGCTCGTAACGGGCCGACGTCTGACGCCCCCGCCTCTTCGTAGACCCCTGCCTGCTGGGCGAGGACGCGGGCGACTGCCGGGACTACGCCATGATGTGGTTCTACGACAGCGAGCAGCGGCAGTGCAAGCGCTTCTGGTATGGCGGATGCGGCGGAAACGCCAACCGCTTCAGCACCATGGAGGCCTGCCAGGACGCCTGTGTGGCCTGAAGGGGGCGCCACATCTGAATGTGACTTTTTAACTTGAAACCTTCTCGACTTGATTGTTATTTTTTAGGTGCTCATGTCACATGACCAACATTCATTTCTTCATTGATTTTTTTTTTTAAACGTACGCTAATGTTTGGCCAATTTGCATTCCAAAACATTCCAGAAAATTCGGAGTTTTCAAACAGAGATTAAACTTGACGTCATAAATTTTTAGCATTAATAATTACAGTATACCCGTTTATCATGTAACATCCAGAAAAGATGAACAGTGCAAAAAAAAACAGTGCAAACGTTTTTCTTTCATTGCATCTCTTCCAGTGGAGCTCAGTGCTGCCCCATATTGTTGTGGCACAACGTGGTACTACACTATACTCAATGTGGACTCTCCTGTATATTGGGGGAAAAAAAAAAAAAAAATCTTCAGAATCTGTGTTGTAGCAGGGCTGCAATTGATGGACCAGGATATAGCCAGGATTCATGGTGTAATTTAATTCTGACAATGTCACACAAAAATACGATAAAAAAAAAAGTACGAGTAAGAGTACTTACGGAAAAAACAAACGTTTTCCGGGAACAAAAAACTTTGATGGTTGTAAAAAATAAATAAAACAATAAAACACAAACCATCTATCAATTGGTGTGTCGGTCGCAGGGTTCAGGTTTCCCCGGTCGTGGCTAATGCTAGCATGCTAACAAACGGAATGTGTCGCCTCCATTTGGAAGGAAGTAGGAGCTATTATTCACAACCAGGATGTCAACTATGAAATCAGCGTTTATTGCGCACGCACAGGTCACTTTTGTCTGCTGAGCATCACATGATCAAACTATAAAACAATATGTACAAGATGACATCACAGTGACATCTCATTTCATCATCATAGGCCAATAAAAGCTCACCATGATAGTTAATTACAGGAAATATGGAGATGAGAGTCTTTGCACGTTTCCATAGAAACCAGCGGAGTTGGTGTGTGTGTGTATGAGAGAGAAAGAAGATGTTTGCCTGACCTCACTTCCACACTTTGATGATTCCGTCCCTGGACGATGTGACGATGAATCCTTGCGTGGTCTGGAAGGTGGCGATGTCAGTGATGATGTCATGGTGTCCCACGGGCAGCGACTCGGGCCCCCGGCGCGGCGAGTCCTCGGCAGCGCCGCTCTTTTGTTTGCTGTGGATCTCCTGAGATGGAGGCGGATGTCAGGCAAAGCCACACTATTTTATTTTATTTGCCTTTTTATTCCAAAAAGATTATTAAGATTTTCTCGGTTTTGCGGTGATTCCAAATATGAATCACAGTGTCACGATGTGGTCACGTCCGCAGCTCGGCTTACCTGCACTACCTCGGTGCCTTCAATGATCTTCCTGCTGTACAGGACGGATGGGCAGTGCAGCGAATCGTTGGCCCCGCCCGCCACGATGTACGACCTCTCCGGGTACGCCAGGTCCCAGAACCTGACGAGCGCAAATGTCACAGTGTGTTTAAATTTCAATTTTGGGCCTTGAATTTTGGATGCAGATTTTTTTTCCTGGTAAAAAAAAAAAAAAAAAAAATCGGCATTATAAATTTGCTTATCGCACCTGATCCTCATGTCGGAGCCGGCGGTCAGCAGCAAAGGATTACCGTCCGCTGGACTGCAGTAGATCCCGTGCACACTGTGAGGCGACGGCTGCGACACAGGACAGACACCGTGAGAGCCCCGACGCTCAACCGCTATCAAATTCGAAAAATGCAAAGTACTACTTTCCTATGAACCAAGAAATAACTTTTTGTTGGGACCCAAACCTGTCACGAAAAGTGAAAATCCATGAAAAATTACACCCTCCTTATCTCATTCAGTACCAGCCAATTCTGGACCAAGTCTGAAAAAACGTCTTTGGGAGTGAATGAGTTAAAAAGGAGGCTAAGCAGTTCAAACATCCATTTTCCAATCCGCTTTATCCTCACAAGGGTCGCGGGGGGTGCTGGAGCCTATCCCAGCTGTCTTCGAGCAGTAGGCGGGGGACACCCTGAACCGGTTGCCAGCCACTCGCAGGGCACACAGAGACAAACAACAGTCCGTGCTCACACTCACACCTAGGGATAATTTAGAGTGTTCACTCAGCCTGCCAAGCATGTTTTTGGAATGTGGGAGGAAACCAGAGTACCCTGAGAAAACTCGGCAACCACTGGGCCACCGGGCTGCCCTCAGTTCAGACAACGGATCAATATCTTCATGCTTCTCACCTGCAACTCTGACAGCGGCGGCGCCGAACTGGCCCACAGCGTGAACTTACGATCGCCCGTCTCCATGTCCCACATGGACACCTCGTTGTTGCCCTGCACGGCTGCACGCAAGGGGAGTCACATGACCAGGAAGTCAAACAAGGAAGTGAGCGAAAGGACGACTCACTCACCGGCGATGACGGACGACTGGTAGAGCGGGTGCATGAGCAGGCGTCGGATGCGCGCACGTGCAGGATGCGTGTGGTTGGAGATGGGCAACTGGAAGCGCATATCCCAGCACGCCATGGTGCCGCTGCTCGTACCTGCGGAGGGGATACACGCTCAGGCTGTGTCGGGAATCACAGACTATGCCCACGACACAGCGCTCTTTATCGGGGTGCGGCCATTTTGTAGTGCTGTTCCATGGTCTGTACAGTGAGTCTCATCACTCCAGCAATCTATTTCCACCGCATGAAATATGGCGTGCGGCAGGCTCACCGAGGCAAAGCCAGCATTGATGCATGTCCACGCTGAAAGAGGTGATGAGTCCCAGGCGCATGTCATGGCGCAGCGTCCAGGCGTTGGAGTTGGAGCGTAGATCCCAGCCCACCAGCGAGCCGTTGACGGTGGCGTACGCCAGCACGGCCTGAGCGCCAGAGTTAAAATGGTGGATGTCCACCGCACAGCCGTCCTCCTTCAGGTCCAGAGATCTGCAGGGAAGCAGCGGTAGCGGTGTAGTAAAAGTCAAACAAAGACCTATTTCATGTTTTGATTTGTGTCATTAGAGTGGTAGTTTTTCAAGATATGAACCGCCATTAGCCCGCTTTTTTTTTGTCTTGGTTGAAGAGCAAAAATTTGAATTGCGGCTGCAGTTCGCACTTTCCACCACAAGATGACGACAAAATCAACCTAATTTGTCAAGTTTTATTTACATTCTGTCTGATTTAGAAAAGATGTGAACATTTGACAGGATAAAATTGGTGAATTGAACGAACCTGGTCTGGAAGGGTTGCACTTTGGGCGATTTTGGCGGTTTGCTGGCTTCTACCGCCAGGAGCTGGATGGCGCCGTTGTCGGATGCCACGGCCAAGTAATGCGAGCCCTGGCAGAACGTCAGCGTCTTGGCGTGGCCGCCGATGCGGGAGTACGTCAGCACCGACCTGGTGGTGGTGGTCTTGCCCTCCATCTTCTGACTGTCCCAGACTTTCACAGTGCCGTCGTTGGATGCCGTGGCAAAGATGGCGTGCTCGTCCGACACTCGAATGCGGTTGACGGCTGCTTTGTGCTCGTGGAGGTGGGCCACCAGAAGCCCCTTTGGGTGCCACCCTGAAACATGGGCACGCCAATACGGAAAACGGTTTGAGCATTTATTCCATCTGCCACAAGTGTGCTGAAGTGTCTTTCAACTACTGAAGCTGAGTTGTAGTACCAGTGCGCAGAATTGTATCCGAGTTGGAAAACAGTAGTGGGAGAAAAAAAAAAAAACCTCTCACCTCTACTACTCTAGAACTGCTTTACATTACTTTTTGACACCTCAGTGCCCTACTAGAATGGGGGTCGGCAACCCGCGGTTCGAGCGCCGCCCTAGTGGCTCCCTAGAGCTTTTTCAAAAATGTTTGAAAATGGAAAAAGATGGCGGAGAGAAATATTTTTTTTTCTGTAGGAGGACAAACATGATAAACATTCTTAAGAGGAATAAAAACATTTAATTATGAAGGCTCATTGTTTATTTGTAGTCAACTTAGTCATTTTGATGGTAGGCTAATATAGCTAATATAGATACATACAGCGTGTGTTGCCTTCATTATAAGGCTTATGTAAGGCTTTTCATTTTTTGTGGCTGCAGACATATATATTTTTTTTTTGGCCCAATACGGCTATTTCAACATTTTGGGTTACCGACCCCTGTCCTAGAACAACTGGGGAAAACTTTTTTTTTTTTAACACTTTCCTCAAGTTCTATGAAAAAATGGCCACAACTTAATGACAATGGAGAGGTGAGAGCCAGCGTCAGAGGAATTACCGGGCGGCGGCGGGCGACTCTCCCACTCCGCGCTCTCCATCATCTGCTTAGCCATGCGCTCGGCACTGCACTGGTCGCGCTTCTGCTGCACCAGCTGCTGCAGCTCCGCCTTGCACGTGTTGAGACGCCGTTGGTAGGCCAGGCCGCTCGTCACCGACTGCTGCACGGCCACCGCTGGCGCCGCCGCGTTCTTTCGGGATTGACTCGAAGGCCCGTCAGGCACCTGCACGGAACAACATTCATCCATTTTCAACACCGCTTATTCTGATCAGAGTCGCGGAGGTCGCTGGAGCCTATCCCAGCTGACTTCCGGCGGACGGCAGACGACACCCTGAACGGGTCGCCAGTCAGTTCCAGAGTACATATCGAGACAAACAACCATTCACACCCACATCCACACCATCACTGAGTGGGACCCAATCGCACGCTGCCCGCTCATAAGTCAGGCAAGTGTACCAAAACACCATCAGCGACTCACAATACAACAATAAGAAAAAAACCTTTCACCCCCTCCAAAAAAGTCGCAATTAGATTATTTCTCCAGAGCGTTCAGCACTACCGTGTTTGCCTGCGCGCTGGCGGCGGTGGCGGCGGGCTCCTGAGATCCAAACATGCTCTTCCACTCCTCGTTCATGGAGTCCTGCTTAGTGTGCTTCCTTGCTGCACGAGACAAAAATCAAGCAGAGGTGACGATATTTGCTCTTCCGTTTCATCTCTCTCTCTCTCTCTTTCTCTCTCTCTCTCACCTCGCTTGTCCTCCACCTCGCCTTTGGGCTTGGCTAAGTCCACTTGACGTCCGGTGATGCCCAGCACGGCAAGGTCGACCACGCCGGTCTGAGCGGCCTCCCCAAGATGTATCTGCTCCCCCATGTTGGCTTTGGCCTTGTTGGACTTGAGCATGAAGTCCCGGAGTGCCAGCAGCTTGTCTTCCTCTGCCTCGGTCATTCCCTGCGCCCGGGTGAACAACACAAAACAAGAGCTCGCTATTATGTAGGTCATTCACTTGTTGCATCCTATAGGCGACAACAACAACATCCAACATAAATGTTAATGTTGTTGTAAATGTGAAGGGACCCCCCCCCCCAAAAAAAGTACTCATTATATGAATTAAATTAATTGGTTATCAAAACTGTATTCAGCCAAATATTAGAATCTGCTTCAAAAAAACAAACAAAAAAAAAAAAAAACATCGGTCATGACTTCATTAAAACGAGCAGGACATCGTTGCACATTTTGTGAGTCTGTCTGTGGTGCTTTGCATTGGCTGTTAGCATTAAGCTAGGAAAAAA